TTTGTCTCAGCGTCTAACAGAGACAAAGTGGGAGTTCCATGAGGGGGGGTTCAGGGATGAGACGCATTGTGTGTGTGTGAGGGACGGATTGACGGATGGATGAATGCTGTTGAAGAGCGACCATTTAGCTGATAGTGATCAGCCAGTTTAACTCAGATCCCCCCACCCAACTCATCTACCTCGCTCTCTTTTCCCCTGGCTCTGCACCTCATCCATCCTTTTGTCCCGGACCTGCATGTCTCTACTTCTCCTCATTGTTGCTCTGATTGAGCCTCAGTAGCTCCACTATCACCACACACACATTCTCTCTCATCTCGGATCAAATCCTCCATCCCTCCCCCTCGAGAGTATTAACCTGCCCTGTTCCTCAAAGTAGAATGTCACAGCTGGACTAATCCTCCATATGCAGACCTAAGACATCGAAGAACTAGACGCAGCACTGCTGTCAGTTTACACTTCCACTTTGGTGACTTCCTATAAATTCAAACACTTCCACTATTGGCTGATCTCAAATTCGTTAGCAAATTGACGATTTTGTATGAATTCTTACGATCTGTTTCGTCAGGTCTTAATGTGACCGCAACCTAATATACCTGAGATAATATTAAAAAATATTTATATGGCAGTTTTTCCCAAATTTGCAGCCATTGAAAATGCTGAGTGGCTATTAACTTTAGTTAATGTGCTAGTTTAGAGGCTCAACATGGCATCATGACTTTGCGTAAACATACACGCCACTTTCAAGTCAAGTGGCATGTTATCTATACGCATTTTGAGCTATCCGCGTGTATGTCCACGCCGAAACGAACCGTCAACTTTTGCGTGTATGTCTACGCCGTTAAATGTCCGAGTGATTCCGCGTGTATGTGTACGCCGTTAAATGTCCGAGCGAAACGAAGGAAAATGTAGATCTACATCTGGGGAGCGATATTTTTTTTCCTAGGGATGGTAGGGGAAGACTCATGAATGGTATTAACCCCAGTGGTAGGTCATATATTTATATATACAGTAATGTAACGTTAAGTCAACGGCGTTGATAAACACGCTGAAAAGCGATTATGCGTGTTGATAGCACGCCAAAAATGGAAATACGAATTGGCGTGTCATACATACGCCATTTCATGAGATCAGTCTGAGAGGCTAGAATTGAAGACACTGTTGAGTGCTTTTGACTACTTAACAACCACACAGAAACCCCATACAACCACCAAGCCATGCTCTCGAAAACACCCAGAACAGCCTGTGGCGTAAAGTTTTACAGTGATTTAACCACAGTTAAAAGGGCTTTTAGCTATTGTTACCACATTACTGTGGTAAAATCACTGTAAAACATGACTTTGAGTGGCTTCTTGCTTTAGTGTGACTGCAGTTACCGTAGAATACACTGTTGAATAAATGTCAGGTATATGTTGTGACAAAAGATGTGAGATTACTTGTAGCCCTTCAGTCAGAAAGCTTAAAACAGGAAATGGACATACCTGCCTCAAGGCCTGGATTCACAGCGTTGGATCTTTCATATCAGATCAACACTTTGTGAAACAAAAGCCATTTTCTTAAGAACAATCACGTTGTGTTATAGCGACTATATTCAGTTCTACCCCGGAGGAGAAATTCTTTCTCTATGATATCAAAAGATGTCAGTTGCTGATGTAAGGATAAAACAAATGAAGTGGTTGTTTATTGTACTCACAAGAAAGCTTTCAGATGAGAGAGGAAAAATGAGAATGAAAGAAAGAAAATGGGTTGAAATGTGAGTCTGAGAAACAAACTCCCTGTATCCTTTCCTTTGTTTGCTTCCATCTGAGGTCAGAAACCCGAATCCATCAGACAGCCAGGAAAAGGCCATTCTGTAATTTACACTATTAACGGCAATAAACCTGATTTCCACATATGACAGAGTTTTCACAGCTGAATTAAGCTTCTGTACTTCAACTTAAATTGCGTGAAACAGATCTCTCTTGTCCTTCTTTTTCGTACTTTCGTTCTGAGGCTAAATGAGACTTTTCAAAACCTGGTGAACTGCCTCTCTTTTTGAAAGATACACGGGCAGAACAACTTGCGCTCCTCACAAGAAACGCATGGGAAACTCGACTAAAAATGAATTATAATGTTAGCATGTTGCTAATGATGCAATACTCTAATACAGAGCACCATCTTACAAGAAGCAGACGAGAGATTCCAATCACAACTGATTCTAATAGCATTTTTTCTTTTTAAAAACATGAAATCAAAATGGACGTTTTCCATTTTGTTCTTGTACGAGAAGCCAATTCACTTGTCACAATATGTCACAATAGGGAAGAAAAGATTAGCCTATCACAATTTCTGTAACATGCCAATTTTACCATTGGCATGTTGCTAAGATAATAGCATGATATACAAATAAGCAAAGAAAAAGCATCATGCAAAATGGTTAAAATAGTCCATTTATAATTCATCAGTACTTTTAGGTATTGAATGAAATGTACTTTAATCGACATTTCAACATTCTAATCGTGTATGCTTCTGGCCGTATACTGCCTGTTTTTTGGAAAGTGGATGTGTTGGTATAAGTGCTATAAAACACACCCACACATGTAGCCTAGAAATCTAGACGCACCCTAGCGGCAGCAAAGGGTTATTTTGCAGCAAAGTGTGGTCTAGCAACTCTCCATAGACTTTTGAGCTGGAAAAACCAAAAACTGGTCTGGCCAATCAGATTGTGTAGAGTTGGTGGGCGGGCTTGACATAATGACGGCAGAGTTATGACGGTTCCGCGTGATTTCCATAGGTGATTTCCCTCTGCTCAGACTGATCTCATGAAATGGCGTATGTATGACACGCCAATTCGTATTTCCATTTTTGGCGTGCTATCAACACGCATAATCGCTTTTCAGCGTGTTTATCAACGCCTTTGACTTAACGTTATATTACTGTATTATGTACATATAAATATATGACCTACCCCAACCCCGTCCCTAAACCTACCCGTCACTGGGGTTAATACCATTTATGAGTCTTCTCCTACCATCCTAGGAAAAGAAATATCGCTCCACAGATGTAGAATATAGATTTTGCTTCGTTTCGCTCGGACATTTAACGGCGTACACATACACGCGGAATCACTCGGACGTTTAATGGCGTAGACATACACGCAAAAGATTTCGGCGTGGACATACACGCGGATAGCTCAAAATGCGTATAGATAACACGCCACTTGAATTGAAAGTGGCGTGTATGTTTACGCAAAGTCATGATGTCATGTTGTGAAAACAAAGAAGATGCTGCTGGCGAACAGCGGTCTTTCGAATCGGCTTTGCCCGCGACTCTGGAGGACTTGGAGTTAAGAGAACGTCACTTAAGTCATCCCTAAAAAAGGAAGATGTGTTCAGAGTTTTGACGACCGGATACGGCAAAAGTGTAATATACCAAGCTGGTTCACTGGTGGAAAAACGCATGGGACTCACTCAGCCACAGCCGTTCGTTGCTCTGGTTGGTTGTAGCGCTATCCTATTGCGTGCCGAGGGATATTGAAAGACAACCGTTTATCCCGCCCCTCGGATTGAGGTATGCCAATTGTGAGTTCCCAGACCTAACATCTTGATGTAGGTCTGGCTTGCCAGGCTACCACACATGCTCATCACAGAACACTTGTAGATGTGACTATCACAACAAAGTCACATTAATGACTCACATTGGATCTATTGTGACTTCAAACAGCTGGTGGTTTGAAGTAAAGAAATGTTTAAGTCCTCAAACCAACATGTAACTGCATTTGTGGGTAATAGGCCTACTTCTTACGTAACAACAAGATCTCAAACATCACATGACGTTATTCTGACCTCGTCTCTCAGCTAACCACTGTCTACAAGAGTTTTGTGTATGAACGCTAGGTCTGTGACAGTACTGGCAATTATAATTAGCTTTCATTTTGAAACAACGCCGGGTTTCAGCACAAGCCAATTCCAGGAGCCCCATTAAATTATCTGGAGCAGCCAGACAGGGACTGGGCGACCAGTCAGGGCACAGTTTGGTTTAGTGGTTTGGATATGAATGTGTGTGTTTATGTGGCTGATGTTTGCTTTGGATATGCCAGAACCTGACAGAGCAGCTTCCATCATCTCAATTATCGTCATATTAGAGAAAGAGAGCTGCACGAAATAAGCCAATCAGAACTTATTAGATGCCTTACTTACAGTCCTCCAGGAGAGTTCATACTGGCGCGAAGTGAAACGAAAATGGGGCGTGACCCAACGCGATCAAGCAGCCAATCAGACTCTCTCTCGCAACGCGATGCAGCTGAATAGGTAAAACTACGAACACACTACCTCGTATATTCATAATCTTAATTATGCTTCATCCCACGGCAGGTTTTTCTTATTGTTTTCCTTGTGAAACTCGAGGGATGTGTGATATAATATCCGATTGTAAACTTTTTACAATCAAGTATCTCCTCGTTCATGTTTGATGTTTAACATACATGAAAAGCGCTACTTTAGTCCAATAAGATTTCGAGGGGGCGGGGCCACCTGCCGCGACGCTGTAAAAAACAGAAATCAAGCAACTGTTAAAAAGCTTTATCCCCTCGGTGTTGGTTCAAGTAGTTTAGTCAGAATAGAATGAAATATTTGTTTTTTAGCGCTAATGTGTAATCTATGCATTTTATCATTCTCCTGAAAGCCAGCGACTATGGCCAATGTAGTTGTCAAAATAGGAAGAAATGACATTAAACATTTAACATTCATGATTACAACCATGTGTGATCAATATCAATTAGCTTAGTTATTTATCAAAATCCAGTTTCCCAAAATAGTAAATATGACATTGGTTGCATTAATCTCAATAATATTGTCTGTAGGACATATTTAAAGTAGACTTAAAAATGGCTTGTCACCCATGGTTTTGATTTGGTTCATGTGAAGATTTATCACAATGCTCCTGGTTAGGAAACGGTGTTATGAATGCACATAATCATACTCATCTTTGAGACATATTCATCTTTGTCTGTCAGACAAACGTCATAAAATGTATTCACTTTATTAAGTATCAGTTACTGTAGATTGTGTTTTGTTGTACTCGTTCATTCTACGACATATATAAGACAAGAGAAGATCAGTGTTGATAGAAAACTGGCAGTTATACAAAAATAAGATACAGATATTCGCTGGAGAAATACATTTTGATACACAAATAAAGTTGTGATAGATGCTCCTTTAAAAGGTCGTGGAATCAGTACTTCGACGTCTGCGACTCAAAGTTCGTTTTCAGGCTCTGCGAGTCTCTGTCATTGCAGTCTCTAGTTTTTTGTGCTTTGTTCCCCCAGGGTTTTAATCCAAAGGGTCTCTCGGGGTCGCTTCTAAAGGTGCATCAAAAGTCCAAAGTAAGCCAAAAAGGCCGCCCTGATTCGCTCATTGTTGAACAGTTCACATCCGCCTCGTCTCTTCAGATGATATCACTCAATGGCTGTCGTGCAGTCCGAGTTATCTGATTGGATGTGATGGCCCTCCTTCTCTGCTTTCTTTTATCCAGAGCCACGCTCACCTTATATCTGCTGTGGAGAAAAGACTTTGTTAGCTTTTGACAGCGCACCTGTTGAACTGACAAAAAAGCTGCTTACAATGGATGTCTGTGAGTGAAGTGTGCAATGGATGAAAAAAATAATTATTTTGTTTCTTTGTTCTTAATTTTTCTTACTCAAAGTTTATTTGTCTTAATATAAAAAATTGCATTTTATTATAAAACTTTTTTGATAATATTATTAGATTTTATATAAAATATTATTAAAATAATATTTCATAATATAATAATAGTATAATATTTAATAACATTAAAAAAAGAATGTATTTAAAACATTTTTTAAAACATTTAACAACAGCACACCTTTTGAGCTAATGCGCTTACAATGGAAGTCTACCGGACAAGTCCATCGGATAGAAAATTGCAAAAAAAACAAAAACAAAGTGTTATTATTTTATTGCTTGTAATTTTTGTTACCGACTGTTTATTTGTACTGAATAGTTGTTCAAATTCAATTAAAATGATTACATTTTATTATAAAATCTTTATAAATAATATGAAATGTTATATTAAATACTAAAATAATTAATTAAAAAAAGAAATATATATATATATATATACACAGTAGTCAACATTTGAAGTGGATCCAAAAAGTTAATCAAAGTTGTCCTAAGACAAGAACGGGTATTGTTCAAAAATTCATGTATAACTTTGGAAGTATATATGAAGACCTTCGATCCAAAAGCCTCTAAAAAAAATGTAAAAAATGAGACAATAATATTGAGTGAATGCTCTCCGCACATGCTCTCCGTTCATCAAATACTTTCACTTCAAACTCACTAAATCCCAGCCTCAGCCCATTCAGAAATGCCGGTACTTGATAAAAATGTTAATATTAAACAAAAACTTTAGACGAACTTAGAGGCTTTTGCATCTGAAGTCTTCATATAAATATATATATATATATATATACAATTTTATATCATGTTGAACCGACAAAAAGGTGCTTTCAGTGTCTATGGGGCTGGTGTGAAATCGTCAGCTCTCATTGAAAATGAATGATTTTGGCTGCTTATTTTATTTGGTGTAATTTATTTATTTGTTCCTCGTCTTTCTTACTTGTCTTGAATAATTGTTAAAATAATCTTACATTTGAATATTAAAATATCATAAAAAATTACATATCAAAAATCATCACATTTTGTATAAAGATACTCCCTAGACTGCTCTTACTCTCGACCTTGGCCAATAAGTCCACTCGGCTTTCATCTTACTGACCATTAGTCTAAATATAGAGTCTGTAAATCTTTACTGCCGCTTTTATCTTATTTTCCATTTCCTCTTCTTTTTTTAGCTCTGGCCTTTGACTGGAGGAACGAAGGGAAACGACAAGGCAGGAAAAAAGGGTGGAGAGGGAAAAATAAAACGAGGTGTGGGAAAGCAAATGATTAAAAAGACGGAGTGGGTTTAAAGGTACAGTAAGCGATTTCTGAGAAACGCTGTTGAAAGTGGATTGGACCGAACGCCACAACAGACTTGTAGCCAATCAGCAGTAGGGGGTGTGTCCACTCATGATGGGGGAGGAGAGAGAGAGAGCAAGAGAAAGATTTGAAGAAAGACTGTAGAAAGAGAGATGCCTGAGAGACACTACAAAAAGAGAAAAGCTCAGGGGAATATCCCTTGGGAAAAAAGGGTTATGAGCTTAAGGACCCTCGTTAATATTAGAAAATATTTCCAGCGCTGGTCAGACAGAAGCGGGAAGGCCTGAAAACAGACGCGGGGTTGCGTTGTTTCTGCTCCATACATGAGTAACATTGGTTTTGCTGTTTCATAGAACCAAGATATGCTGTAATGTTAGCTATAGTAACAGGACAGTTTTGAGTGTCATTGTTTGCTTTCAATACTCTTGTGTACTGTATGTTAGTTTTTTGTTCTTTTGTCATCTTCGCATTCTTTTGTTTCGCTTCAGCTATGATAAAGAGACATCTACTCATTGTGCATTTTGGGGGCGGAGCAATGAAGGGAGGGGTGTGTTTGTTTGGGTTGATTTCAAATATCAACAGTGTTTCTCAGAAACTGTGTACTGCACCTTTACAGGCGGCAGTATTTGCGTACCTGTGTGTATGCGGGACTCTGAGTGATGTTTGGACGTGCACACACACTCGAGATGATCCTCCAGCTGCACCTGCACCTCCCGAAGCTTTGGCCTCCTGCGTACGTACTCCACCTTGGCCACCTGAGAGAGAGAGAGAGAGTGTGTGGGAACATCCTGAGTTGCACGCACACTCTCATAACCCTATCAACAGTGTGTTTTTTCCTCTGCTTTTCCAGAGGTGAGATAAGGCGAGAGCTAAATGTGACTCGGTCGGTTTCCTGTAACGCAGATGAGCCGCCTCAAACCTCTCTTTCTAAACACACACACCTCATATCATACTGACAGACTTCTTCCCTCCCTGCCAACTCAGCTGCCCTGCAGGCCCATTTATACAATACTTTATTCAGGTCTGAACACTCACACACATTGCTGGCGAGATAAACGGAACGGAACACACCCCACAGCCGCGGAGTAACAGACAGATATTTGCAGCGGTTAACTCAAGGTTAGGGCTATTCGTTAACCAGCCACGGAAGTCTGGCCTGAAACTCTTTCAGTGTGTTCAGCGGCCCTGAAATTCTCGTCGACACTGTCCTCCCTTTTGGCACGTCCTACGCCTCGCTCTTGTTACATTTAAATCTGAGAAATGTGAAAAGCTTTGCATGCTGGAAATGAGCCTGGCAAGTGGCAAACACGGTCACAGCCTAGTGCGCAGGAGATCTCCATCAATAAAACCATATTTCCAATATAAATGTGCTTTAACGAGGAGAAAGAAGAACGTTTAATTTAACTTTCACCTATAGTTCCTATTAATAGGGACAAATTAGACAATTTTTTCACATGCAGGAAATGGAATGGCATAACTCAGATAACTTGGTATTTGAAGAAAAACACCTGAGTTCATATTAAGATTTGATATTTCATATTAAGATTAAGACTTTTGACTGCAGACTTTTATGTTATTTTATATTTAGTATTCTGAAAAATATTTTTAAAATATTTTAAATAATTATAATTTAATAGTAATTTAAAATGTTTTTAATCTATGATCTATGTGCTTAAAATATAAAAATATATAACAAAGTATAAATAAAAGATGTATATTATCTTTCATTGTATATGTATTCAATATAAAACATTGACATTTTTTAATTTGCCAAATTATTTAAAATAATTAGTATTTAATAATAATTTAAATATTTAAAATATTAATATAAAATAATAAATGGTGTATATAAATAATGTTTTGTTTTTAAGCTTTAACAAGTTTTTAAAATAATTATAATTAAATACTATTTAAAATATAAATTATAAATATTTATATTTTATAATACCAATTTTTTATAATAACATCTTATATTAATGATATATAAAACATATATATATATATATATATATATATATATATATATATATATATAAATGTAATATATGAAATAATATGTATTATTTTTAAGACATTGGAAAACAAATTATAATTATTACATAATTAAAAAATATATAAATATTTGTATATATAAAATAATAAATGGTATATATATATATAATTTTGTATTTTAAAAAATATTTAAAATAATTAGTCAAATAATAATTTAAATATTTAAAATATAAATGATAAATATTTCTATTTTATAATTATAATAATTATAACTTTATATAATAATGTACTATATTAATGATATATAAAACATGTATGTAGGGAAAAAAAATTATTATATATGTATCATAATATAAAACAATATGTAAAACATGTTATATGTTAAATTAAATAATTTCAATATATAAAATATATATATATATATATATATATGTATAACATATTTACACAGGCACATTATAGAGGGAAAGATGCATGTTTTCTCACCTTCACAGTCCTGTAGTATTTTTTGGACGGGTGGCAGCGCATGTTGCTGGTGTTGCAGCAGCCTGAGCATCGCCTCACCTCGACACACGGAGGCCAGATCAGGAAGTTGGCAGCCGTGGGATCCACCTGACTGCGTGGGATCTCGTAGATCACTGTGCGAGTCTTACAGACGGCTGGCACTGCCTCCTCTAAACACACAATAGCCCGTAAACACACAGAACAACCACAGGAGCTTTGCAAAGTGTATGTGAGCATGTGTGTGTGTCTGTTTTTTACCGATGCTTCTCTTGCGTCTCGAGTGTGCGTGTGAACTCTTGAGGTGTCTGCTGTCATACAGATGCTCCTTATGGTGGCCCTGCTTAACGTCTTCCAGCACCTCATTCTCTGCAAAAGGAGTCAACGAAGCACAAAGTCAACAGTGTTTAAGCAACATATTTTGGCATGTAGAACAAGCAACCATCCAATGCACAATCCCTCCCTCACTATTGTGAAAAAAGAGTGACCTTGAACCTCTTTGTGAACCCCGCCTCCGCCAGGCCCGATGGAAAGAAATGAAGAAAACCTGGTCTGATTACTAAGTGAAGAATAAAAGGTGTCCGCCAACCTGCCTGCACAGTGCACACACTTCATTCGAAACACTTCCTTTATGCACCGCCTGAGGACACGCCGAGAAAAACCTAGACTCAACAATAAGACCTTCGGAAAGGATTGTGTCATTTAAAATGCTTTAAGGACGTCTGGTTGGTTAGTCTGAGCAAAGTGCGCAGTATTTAATCATGCTGTTCTACGGATCCGCAGAGCCATTCAGCCATACAGCGGGGCGACGGGGGGCAGAGATGCCCCTGTTGTTGCCCCCGGAAACCGGCCCAATGGAGGAGGAGGGCGCTTTTAATTCAGGCTTGAGCACCGTGGCCGACCGACCCGCTCGGCTTTTCACACAGTCGTTAGCGGAGCAACGGACCTCACAAACGCAAACACTACTTGAGCTTCAGCCTCTTTTCTCTCCCAAACACACGGACACACACTCGCACGCAGAGATGCACACAAAAACTGAGGAATTCGACATGAATAATACATTACAGCAGCGCTGGCATTCAGCCGCACTCAACTCATAAAGGCAGCATGACAACAGTATAATGGAGAGAGTCTCTTGACCTCCCTCAGGCACCAGCCACACAGACGCAGCTGTTTGCATTTCAATTACAGCGCTTATGGGCCGGATCAAATCTGACGCTCACATCGTTACGGCTGCAGCATTTCCTCATTAGATGCGCTGGAAGTTTATATTTGAGACATTGCGGATATTTGAACCCTTTCAGTTGGGTCTTCAGCTATTAAATCGTTGCCATTAAAAAAAAAGCTCCCATTCAGGGTCAGGTGATCCGAAACTAGCTAAATCATACTAGGCTTCCTTAAAAGGATAGTTCACCCAAAAATGAAAATTCTGTCATCATTTACTCACCCTCATGTTGTTCCAAACCTGTATGAGTTTCTTTCTTCTGTTGAACACAAAAGAAGATATTTTAAAGAATGTTGGTAATCAAAAAGTTGATGGTAGCCATTGACTTCCATGGTATTTATGAACGTGAATGGAGTCCATCAACTGTTTGATTACAACATTCTTTAAAATATCTTCTTTTGTGTTCAACAGAAGAAAGAAACTCATACAGGTTTGGAACAACATGAGGGTGAGTAAGGGATGACATTTTTATTTTTGAGTGAACTATTTTACTATTTAAAAATTATTTGTGGGATGTGCAAAACTTCATATTATTAAAATCGACTAGTCTTCATTGTGGTAATAGCTAATCAACAGCATCTTTACAGTGTAGATAGTTGAAAAGATGCAAGAAAAGACAAATGACGATTGAGAATGCAAATAAATGCAAGGAATACGACCAATAGCAATGCAGTATGCAAATGCTGCAATGACACCATCACTGTCAGTTAGAATTTTGAATACTGAACATTCAATCATTGTAAGCCAAACCGAGATTTTTAAACTTTACGTTTTTAAAAAGCATTTTTTTTTTTACATTTATACACAAAACATGCTGAAATATCAATCATGCTTCAAGAATGGGAATAAACTACTTTTTCATATGATGGAATTTAAAAAGTTACTGTAACTACATCATTTTAAAGGACATATTTGAGTTCAGAATGTTTGTGCTGCCAAAATGTGACATGATTTACCAAGTTCAAATGCTGATGCGGCGCCATGAGTGCAGGAGCGGGACTGCGGTCTCTAGGCAACATGTGCTGAGGCGTTCGTGGCGAGGTCCATAAACTTTGAGTGCAATAAAAGATTGAGTGAGTCTCCTCTGAATGGATATTTCCCACAGTCTTGTTCTCCTAACATTGCACCTCAACCTTTTGGCGACTTGATACATTGTGCTGACATTGGTTGGGTTTCACTCATGTTTTGAAACAAATCTTTTAAGTGAACAAATCATTCTCGAACGAATCAAGGACTACAACAATTCTCCGATTTATCAAGCACACAACCCACATTCCTGTAGTAGTTGATTTAGCAACCAGCTGGCAAGAAGGCTGAGTGAATGTTTCAATGACTCATTCATAAACTTGTCTCTGCTACATTAAAGATGTAACCAAGGACCACTAAACAAAACTGAATGAACCTTGAAGAAATATTTTTTTCCTTTTGAACACATTCACAAGATTCAAGTCACAGATATGAATCACCAAGACTTTACCTACGAAGTCAATCTCCAGGAGCCTCTGGAGGTCGCTGATGCTGCGGATGTCGCTGTTAGAGAGTCTCTCGATCAGCTCTCGGGGAATCGGCGCTTCCTGTGGAAGAAAATGGTCCTTCCAAAATACATCAAAATGAAAATGCATGTGTTGTGGGCCAAACCCCTTAAGTTCTTCAATTAATTGTTTATTAAATAGTATTTAGATACTTTACGGTTGCACCACTTGAAAAGTCATTATATCAAAAAATTTGTAGGCTAGAAAATTCTATATTTTTATGGTAATACTTTACAATAAGGTTTCATTTTGTTACTTCGACAGCATGTATTAATGTTATTCTCAACATTTAGGCTACTAATAAACTTTTTAGATCAAAAGATGTAGTCTATCTTTTAACATTAACTGATGTTAACAAATGAGACCTTACTGTAAAGTGTTACCATTTTTTCCCCCAATTGTAACCAACATGAGTAGCCAACAAATATTACATATATTTATAATAACTTAGATTTTAGAAAAACTATGTGCAATAGGAATGGGTGTTACTTTTATGATAATTTTATGACCATTAATAAATTATGACCCGTTAATGAAGAACTGCGAAGTGTGAGACCTTATAAATTAAGCATCAAAATAAGTTAAGCAATAAAAGCGAATAGAACTTATAGGGTAGCCTACCAGATCCAACTCTTAAGTCAGTTTAATGTAATTTAAGTTGAAATGACTTAAACATCCAAGTTGATTGTACTTAAAATTTGAAGGAAGCAAATTCTCTCTTTTTTTTTTACAGTGAACAATCATTCACCATTTATAAAGGAATATCTCTCTCTCTCTCTCTCTCTCTCTCTCTCTCTCTCTCTCTCTCTCTCTCTCTCTCTCTCTGTCTGACTCTTTAGTGCGAAACATCGTGTTCCTCTCCCTTTATCCCCAATGTACAGATAAGTTCAGAGGTTGGTCTTACCTCAGCGGCTGCTGAAAGCACAGAGAAGCAGCAGAAGAGAAAGTAGATCAGCACGGTTCTCATCTCCCCTGTGGTCCAAATGTGTCCCAGTGCATGCAAAACCTTCCCGACCGGAGCCGCAAAGATGCTCCAACCGGCGTGGAGCCAGGGAACATGCCTTTCCACAGACAAACCTCTCTAAGGATAAACTCTTCACAAGTAGCCTATGTCAAAGCCCTAAAAAACGACTCTCTGAATTATACTCCTATTAATAAATTATTGTCGTTTTTAATCCGTTAAAAAGTCACAAAACATTGCGCGAGATCATTTCACACAAAAAGAAAACATGAATGAAGCGAACCTTCATCCCTTGACCGCATCGCTTCTGAGTTTAATTTTTAAAAATCATAAATTCTAAATCCAAAGGTAGTCCTAGATTCAAAACCATGATAGAATAAAGAGTCCACGTTTATCCAAAATAGTCCATTTTATGCACCGTCCACACTTTGTGTCCTCAACTCGTCATATAAAACTAATTCGGTTCAAACTTGAACACGTCTCGCTCGCGCGCGTGGAGGGGATCTGACAGTGAATGAACTGGCGCTTCTCTCATCTCCTCAACTTAAACTCAGTGAGAGCCGCGCGCCCCCTCAGGACGAGGTAATCTCTGCTAACCAGCCTTCCAAGTCACCGCATTTCGAGTCATTTCAGTGATTCGAATCTTTTCAATCAGTAAAAAAAAAAAAGAAAAAAGATTCACTAGTGACATCGTTTTACGTCAGTAGGTGACGACGACTTTAGTCGCTCAACCGACCCGTATCGTTAAAAACACCGTTCACTTAAAAAAAATAGATTCACAAATTTGTTCAGAAATGAAACACCTCTATAATTCGGATGTGTTTCACCTTTCTCACCCTGTGAAGACAGAATTATTTTATACTTCGCTCCACATTTCCTCAAGATTTGACAAGTGAGGACGTGACCCTCGCGTGTTGTATTTGAATGAAACTGTTAGCGTGCCAGATTTTGTTGCCTGCTTCAAAATCTGAAAAAGTGTTTTATTTTCCTTGATATTTCGACTCTGGAGGTGAGTTATCAAGGTAACTTCCTCTGAGCTATTATAAAGTTAATAGTTAACACATTTAGTTCAGATTCAGACAGTGTTTACATTAGTGATGTTCTGTCAGATAATGTCTAACAGGAGAAATATGGGTGGGTGAGTTTCAGGGTCTACTGAATCCAGTGTTCTCTTAAGTTGGGTGAATCCTTAATTAGCCCCACTGAGACAGGAAGCACCCTAGACAGACAACTATTCGGGAGAAATTATGGGAGAGAAGGAAACACTGAATGGACTACAAGATAATAAGGAAAAGGTGAAGACAGCAGACTACAGGAGGTGAGCACACTGTCCTAGAGTTGAAACAATGTAGATAAATAGACAAGGCACACACACTAGCTTCCAAATTGGGTTTGGTGCAGTTTGGTGAGGTAAAAGGGAATAAAGGAATTCTCTGGAAGCTTTTCATTCATTCCACTCATACCACAGATTGGCTCTCGGAATAAAAGACTTGGCATTTTCTTGTGTAACAAAATACATTTAGTTGTGCATGTTCCCATTTCATTACTTTTGAGGGTTTGTGTGTGTGACAAGCATGATTTGCATTCCTGACCCTGGCTTTAGCCGTAAGATGGAGAGGAATGTGTGAGGACCCACGCACACACACTAAAGCTTCAGCAGGTGAAGAAGCTGGAAATCCAGCGTCTATGTAGTTCATGACTGACATCTCAATGAAGACGGAGGGGGAAGGGGTACGAGGTCAGACGAGCTGAACCGAAAGAGCTGATACGGAAAGACGTTTTGGTATGGATGGACGTCTAGTGACAGTTTGATATGAAGGAAAAAGGAAAAGCAAATGAGAGGACATTTGTTATGGTTGTGGTAAAAATAGGCAAGAGAAAAAAGGGACTATGGGAGTTGAAGTCCCTTGAGATCCCGCCTTGCCAAAGAGAATGAGTCACAGCACAACCACATCTACCAGTAATGTGTGTGGGAAACCTCTACGGAGCACGCAGATGCATACTTGTACCTTTTCTGTAAGACCGACACTCTTGGACACACGGACACCCACACATACCTCGAGCACCAGCGGTCCATGCCAAGCTGGGATTCCTGCCAAAACCAAAAACCTTTGCTCTCCTTCCCATCCATCCAAGCATGAGAATAATAAGTTGAACTTCTATCGTGTAAAAACACTGCACACTTGCTAGCTGGTCAAGCTCTTGACTTGAGGGACTTTTAAGGAATGGTTCGGAAATGAAAACTCTGTTACCATTTACCCACCATGATATCATTCCAAACCTGGCTTTGTTTCTTCTGTGGAATGCAAAAGGAGAATGAAATCAAAGCAATTTTGTTTTAAAACATTTTGAAACATAACTTGATAATATCTATAAACTTTAATTAATAATTGTAATTAATTATTAATTACAATTAATAATTAATAAACTAAATAAAATCAGTGTGGTGTAACCAACACACAGAGGCCAGTTTTTCATCATCTGACCATTTAAAATCCTCACGATTGTCTCAATCATTACATTTTTCATTAAGCAATGCATTTTATTCAGGTCAGATGGACTAACCCTAAGAAAACCTGTTGATATTAATGACTCAAAGTGCATATTTGTAAAAAAAAAAAAAAAAATACAATTTAAAAAAAAAGATTTTTTTTAAACATTTGTAAATGTATGCAAAACCCAAACAAAGTATTTAAGTATTTTCTACTTGATGGTTTCACCACTTAACATTTTAAAATCTAAATATTTGTAGTCATTAAATCAAAGTATTGTTGAAAATCTTGTGCTTATTTGGGGGGAAAATAGACCATTAAAATTCGTAGTTTAGTTGCACATACGCATTCTTTTACAGAATGTTTTCCTTTGCATTTTTCGGGGTTCAGACGAGACGACAACTTTGTCAAAGGGATCCCCATTTCAAATCCGTGAAACAACTAAAAACGCTGTATTATTTATGCCAGGCCGGTAGATGGCAATGTAACTTTGCAAAGAAACGTTCGTTTTAATAAAAGTATCGTTTTCATAAACTTTTATATTAATTAGTTCCCTTGTTGTATGTAAATCATGGCCATGGTTTAACTAAATACAAAGAGGGAACTTATTAGTACAACATGGCCATGATTTACCTAAGGGTTTGTATTAAAAACGGAAAAGTTTTTCCTTTGCGTTTTCCGCGTACAGGCGACAGCATTATCAAAATGATCCCCGTTTACATCCGTGAAAACGACTAAAAACGCTGTATTATTCATGTCAGGCCAGTAGTTGGCGATGTCACTTGTGATGGACTTTGAAGTTGTCTTAAAAGTTTGAAATTTGTATTAAAATGAATCCCTCGTTTTAGCTAAATCATTGGCATGTTTTGGCTACCCCTGCACAAGACATCCAAGGGGGGGAAAAACAAGATATCGTGGCCACAAATTAAGAATTTGTTTCCACAATTTACAAATTTACACGACACTGCTTTTAACCAAAAACTGAAAACTTTTTGTGTGTTTTGGCTGTTCATCTACACAACAATGGTGTTTTTGGGCCCTGAAAAATGCAAACTTTTGAAAACGGGTTTTTGAACATTGTATCGTTATTATCTCCATGTAAACTACAAAAACGTGAATTTATCAAAGCTGTGACATCATGCGTAGGCCTATTTCATGTTCAGTCTATAGGCGCGTAGTTTCTTTACAAAGTGACATCGCCATCTACTGGCCTGGCATGAAAAATACAGCATTTTTTGTCATTTCACGGATGAATGAGGATTTGAATGGGGATCGCTTTGACAACGTTTTACCTAAAACGAGGGAACAATTTAATAATCACATGGATGAACACTTAATTTGTGTCAACAATATCTTGACTCCCCCGTCCCCTTTGAAAATATGGAGGCATGAATACAAAATTGAGAACTTAAGTGTCCCAAAGTTTTAGCTCTTTTGAAAGTGAGTGAAAGTTGAGCAAGTGAGAAATAACTTGTCTTGAAATGCCATGCAGCATCGATGCCAGAACAGTGGGACCAAAATATGTTCTCCAGTAATGGAGCTTGGCAGTGGAGTGACAGCATCAGTTATTTGGATTTGCTCTGCAGCACTCATGAGTGGACAAAACATATAAATGTACATACAAAAGTATTATTGATGAGGGAGGAAAAAGACCCTCTGCTCTGTCCCTCCTCCTCCTCGGTCTCTCTCAATTCATGCACTGTTCATCATCCCCAGTGTCTCTGGCTCCTGCAGAGCTTCAGTGTGTCCGGAGGAATTAACAGACCAAGACCTCTGCCACCAGAGACAAGCCCTCAAGCCCTCACAAGAATAACAGTGTGTTGCAATGCTTGAGCGGGGAGAAAAAAATTAAGGGAAATTCCCAGGAGCAGTCCAGACAGTTTACACAAAGAGACAGACTAGACTTCTCTCACCATCCTCCAATTACTGGCTTTGCCTATTTTTTTTATTATACATAGATTGTGTATGTTTGTGTTTCTGCATGTCTCATCTCATCCCTGTAAGCCATTTAATAAGGAGACCTTAAGATGGAAGAAGGAAAGAAAGGTGTGGTTGAGCATGTTTGTTGTACCTGGAAGGAGTGTTTTTTACAGCGTGTGTAAGTTGTACCAAAAATGTGTTGAGGAAATATTAACCAGAGACTCTTGTTTCTCACTCAGTGATGGGGAGTAACTAGCGGCATGTAGCAATGCGGCTAACATAACTTTTTAGCGTGACATCAGCTATTCTCAAAATATTGTTGATTTTCCAGTAATAAGCTACTTCATTTTCAACGTTAAGCGGTGTAGCATGGCAAAACTCTCCATCTGTGTTTTTTTATGTCACAATGTATTATGCTAACAGCCTTACAGCTTAGCAAGACATACTGAATTAAAGTCAACATGAAATCCAAATGGTCCCTATTTACTTTCTTAATGGATGTTCCTGGTCTAATTCCAAAAAATCTATAAATGTTTTAGCTAAATGTAGCAACGTATTAATGTAAACAAATAGCGAAATAGCTTTCTAGGCTTCCACTGTTTTAACAAACTCACATTCAGTTTCTATAACTCGTACTTTTTATAATCTAATAAGTTCTCATTGGATAATATTTAGTCCCACCTGATATTTTTTTCTCCTTGAATATCCTGTTATAATTAATAAATACATCACATGGAAGTAAAATTGGTCACATAATGAACTTCACGTTGACATGAATGGAAAAATCTCTTAAAATGTCCCCTCTCTCAAGCAACGTTGTTATTGTTAAATAAAATTAAACATTTTCATTCATTGAAATAAGGCTGAAATAAAATAAAATATAAATATTACAGGAAAACTTCAACTTAAAAAACTTAAATGAATAAGAAATTAGAAATGTTGCCCTCCGGCAACTAACTGAAATGTTTAAATGTTTAATTTGAAGTACTAAAATTACTAAAACAAAATTAAGCTTTAAAGAAATAATATACTAAAACTAAATTACTTAAACATACACTAAAAATACAATAGAAACTGAAAATACAAAAATAAAAACTAATTCAAGATAAATAAATGCTATAAAAGTTTAATAATATTAACCCTCTGGTACTGTCAGTCAAAAATTACAGATTTTTTTTTTTTTCAATGAAATGATTTATGATATTTTAGTTCGATAATATTTTTTATTTAATATTTTGTATTTTTAGGGGATATTATGGT